GAGAAATACCAAGGGCTGAAAGAAGAGCTAGAAAAGATGTTGAAAGTGAAGTCACAAGTGGTCCCCGTGATAATAGGAACATTGGGGGTGTGACCCCCAAACTGGAAGAGTGGCTCCAACAGATCCCAGGAACAACATCTGAGATCTCTGTCCAGAAGAGTGCAGTCCTAGGAACAGTTAAGATACTGCGCAGGACCCTCAAGCTCCCGGGCCTCTGGTAGAGGACCCGAGCATGAAGGAAGGAATACAAGACCGCTGTAGAGAAAATAAGGCTTTTATTAATGAGGTTGCCATGGGCTCTACAGCGCTGTGTCTGATGTTTCATAGGCTGAACAATCAATGGCATAATTGTAGATGAATTGTTAATGAAGATAACTGTGAGCTGCCCCGGGTCCACAGCCTGTCCTGATGTCTGGTCCAGAGATGGAGGAGCAGAGGGAGGCAGGAGGAGGTGCAGACCACTGGGAGAACAGAGGAGGTAGAGGAGGAAACCTGGGCTAAAGGCTAAAACCACCACACTCCTATGGACTCTACTGTTTACTGAACCAGTTGTTCCTCCTCTCTTGTTTCCTCTCCTCCTCTCAGGTGTCAGGTATATAACAGAGGCCTTGTTGTTGAAGCTGACTGGTTGTCATTCTCTGGCGATGGTTTGCTCTCTGAATTTGTCATCCTCACCTGGAGACAAACGCATCAAGGTGAGAACACGCTACCTGTCTGTCTGCAAACATCAAAACTACTACTGCTAGTGCCAATGTTGTAGTTACTGTCACTTCTACTACTGTACAACTCATGTTCAAAGAACTCAGAAGTCAGTGCATTTTCAACATGTTAAAGATTGAGCCAGTGAATCCCACCCAGAGACCAGCAGCACCAGTGAATGTGGTGTCCTCACCGTAATGTGTGTGAGTCCAGACCCTGGTCCAGCTCATTGCTCTGTGCCGTAGACCTCCACTATTGTCCACCAGCTATTAGCCCCCCCCAGTGAGCCACACTGCTGCACTGTTTCCTCAGGAAACATGGAAGACAGTCTGTTTTCTTTTTGTCAATTTTATCTTTTTGGCAGGTTTTGCCTCTATTTAGCTTTTTTTAAAGTACAGTGGGTACAGAAAGTATTCAGACCCCCTTAAATTTTTCACTCTTTGTTATATTGCAGCCATATACTAAAATCCTTTAAGTTAATTTTTTCCTCATTAATGTACACACAGTACCCCATATTGACAGAAAAACACAGAATTTTTGACATTTTTGCAGATTTATTAAAAAAGAAAAACTGAAATATCACATGGTCATAAGTATTCAGACCCTTTGCTGTGACACTCATATATTTAACTTAGGTGCTGTCCATTTCTTCTGATCATCCCTGAGATGGTTCTACACCTTCATTTGAGTCCAACTGTGTTTGATTATACTGATTGGATGTGATTAGGAAAGCCACACACCTGTCTAAGACCCTACAGCTCACAGTGCATGTCAGAGCAAATGAGAATCATGAGGTCAAAGGAACTGCCTGAAGAGCTCACAGACAGAATTGTGGCAAGGCACAGATCTGGCCAAGGTTACAAAAAAAAATTTCTGCTGCACTTAAGGTTCCTAAGAGCACAGTGGCCTCCATAATCCTTAAATGGAAGACGTTTGGGACGACCAGAACCCTTCCTAGAGCTGGCCGTCCGGCCAAACTGAGCTATCAGGGGAGAAGAGCCTTGGTGAGAGAGGTACAGAAGAACCCAAAGATGACTGTGGCTGAGCTCCAGAGATGCAGTCGGGAGATGGGAGAAAGTTGTAAAAAGTCAACCATCACTGCAGCCCTCCACCAGTCGGGGCTTTAGGGCAGAGTGCCCCGACGGAAGCCTCTCCTCAGTGCAAGACACATGAAAGCCTGCATGGAGTTTGCTAAAAAACACCTGAAGGACTCCAAGATGGTGAGAAATAAGATTCTCTGGTCTGATGAGACCAAGATAGAACTTTTTGGCCTTAATTCTAAGCGGTATATGTGTATATATAAAACATTTTTAAGGACAAAACATTAAAAGGGCTGTTAAAGAGACTAAGTCTCTTACTGAAATAGTTTACCTGAAGGACAGATAAGAATCCCATATTTTTGTTTGTATATTGTTATTTGCGATTTGATATTAGAGAACGTTTGCAAATGTAGAATGAACCATATACATTTAATATGAAAATGGCGAAAAATGGAATACGGCCTAGCTCATATAGTGTTATGAGTCAAATTTTATTTAATTCTCCTACATAATTTTATGGTTTCCCAACATAAATGTTTGAGCTGTGGAGAAGTATAACAGGAAGTTGTAGTAGTGTGGTAGCTAGATTGACGGCGTTGGTCGCTGGGGACCATATATATGGGTGTACGAGATCAGGGGCCCTCACAGGAAGACTGATGTCGCCTCTTGCACCACCTGCCTCGCATTGTGGGCCGTCCTGGGAACAGGCTGCCCTTCTTCTCGTATTGGACACCGTCTCATTATTCTTTTTTATCCAGCGTGGGGATAGCAGCATTTAGCGCGTATCAGCATTTGGTACCCGTTGCTTCTGCATAGCGTGAGTTGACGTTCTAGCTTGGTTGAAACCGCGTTCGTCTTTTTTAGTCGAGGTTCGTTACAACGTTACCGTCGCTCGTTTGGCTTTGCATTCATAAAGGGTAGAGGGAAAACACTCACACATTTAAACGTGACTGCATGCCATGAAGGACAAGGACCGCTAGATGCCTGAAATAAGCAGCAGCGAGAAAGCCTGAAAAGGACCCGGTTGTTGAATTCAACGCCGATTCGGGATTTCACTCAGAAATACAGCTGGCAGAGCAAGGTGAGCCTTTGAATATTTCATTTTTATGCAGCCAGATTGTCTCTATACCCAGGGTGTTTTGGGGGCACATAGACACATGTCATGTATACAGCGATGCTGTGGCGGTAATGACCAGAGTGCAGCCATCAATGTGTCCCTCCAGTGTTGGAGGCCGGCGGAGCTTTGCATCACTGCCCGGCCGGAGATGCGCTTTAGAGGCTGACCAGCCTGACAGTGTCCTCTTTTGTCTTCTTTCAGTTGAGTGACACAGTATGGGACTCGTCCTAGCCAAGCCTTTACTGAGTGTCACATGGCAAGTGAACTCTCTGTCGGCTATGTTGCACAGCATGAAGTATTTTCCTAGAAATGTTGCCAGTGCACTTGGAGTATACAGTGACCCAATGTCCATCAAAACAGAGCTTGCTTTATCATTTTTGGTCTTAAATGACATTAAATGCAGTGATGTGGCTAGAACTTGGTATTTAAACATCTATTCATTACTTTCTTTCTCACTGTGCTTTCTCTTTTCCCACTTTCCCTCACTTCTTTTCCCCTACCTTCTTCCTACATTCCAGCCCTCTGCCTTTTTTGCCTCTCCCCTCTACTCCTTCCCTGTTGTTACACTTAACTCCTCCATCTTCTCTTTCTCTTTCGACTTGGCACCCACCTGCCCTTCTCCCCACTTCTTCCCCCCCTTTGTCTTCTCACCCTTGCCAGTCATTGCTCTCTCTCTATTTTCCCCTCTATCGATTTTCCGGGTGGTGCTGCTAAGAGATCACAGCAGTCGGAGTGCTGTGAAGGATAGAGTAGATTGAGGGGATCAGAAAATGATCGTAAAGGGATATTCTCTTTCTTTTTTTTCTTTGTGTGTGTTGCAAATGGACAATAGAATCAGAAGCGTCCAAACATTTTCATATCTGTTCAGTTCCTCATAGATGCAGCTCAGGGCCTCAGAAACTACAGTCAGGCAAGAAATTAAAGGAAAAAACCTGAATAAATGAGCGGTGTCTTCCTGGATGACAGTGCCACCTTCTATAGGGCATATTGGGTCACTGATGAGGAAGAAAATGTGGTGAATCATATGTGGTTGCCTTTGCAGTCACCAGATCTCAACCTAGTTCAATACCTATGGGAGATTTTGGAGCAACATGTTAGACAACGTCTCCACAGTTCCAGAGAGTTGTGGTTTCAATGCCAAGGCATAATGAAGGCCTAACACCTTACTAAGAGACTTTATGTTGGCTTTTCCTTTAATTTGTCACCAGTCTGCATATATACCATTGTAGAAAAATGACAATGCTGTGATCTGATTTTATGAATTATGTTTCTTTTCTAAAACGGGCCTAGTTCAAATTTTTTCTTGTTGTTATGCAGGCAAGCCACAGGATGTCACTTTATCACTGGTCCTCCTTCGTTTACAAAATAAAACCAGTGACAATAGCTTAGAAAAGTCAATGTGAACATCAACAACATCTCAGTAGAATTAGAGTCTATTCAAGGGTGTTTATTCAAGAATCTTGATTGTCATTATGCATATTACAATGAAATTTTTTTTTTCCGGCAGCTCTCAGCTTAAAAGACATATTATTTACATAACAAACAATTGTATAAGCCAATATAAAAATATGAACAAATTAAAAGAGATGTATGGGACCTAATCAGGTCAGCAGCATGTTATAGCAAGAGTGTAGTAACATTATAAGGTGCAGCTCAGTGCAAATCTCAGTCTTTAGGAAGGGTCCAGTGTTCTGTCTGTGTCTGTCCATAGGTGGGAGGTTGTGTGTGTGTGACTAGGGGTTGGGGGGGTGATTGATTTCACAGCTCTGGGGAAGAAGCTGTGTCTCAGTCTGTTTGTTTTAGTCTTTATATTCCTGTACCTTTTCCTGGAGATAACAGACTGTTGCCTCGGTGGGTGGGATCTGCAGCAATCTGTCCGGCCCTCCTCTGGATCCGGTCAGTGTATAGTGAGTCCAGATCCAGAAAAGGACTCGCTACAATGTTGTTCTAACCACCCAGGTCAAGTCCTTTCTGTCCTGTGCAGTGCAGCTCCCGTACCACACTGTCGCACTGAGACAGAGGATGCTCTCTACTGTCACTCTGTAGAAGTTTGCGAGCAACTGAGAGGAGAGACCAGCATGTTTCAGCTTCCTGAGGAAGAAAAGCCTTTGCTGGGCTTTCTTCACCAGGTAGGATGTGTTCAGAGACCAGGTCAGGTCAGGTGTGATGTGGATGCCCAGGAACTTGATGTTATCCACTTGCGCCACCACCTCCCCATGTATGAGAAGAGGAGCATATTTTGTCTTCCTGGACCTCCTATAATCCACAATGACTTCCTTAGTCTTGTTGGTGTTCAGGACAAGAGTGTTATCCACCACCTTGTCAGGA